AGTTGCTCCTCAAAAACCCTATAAAGGATCTTTATGAGTCGGAAATGACTCGACGGTACTTGACAACAACAAAAGTTAAACTGTATGTTAAGACAAACATTTGACTAACTAATATTAGATATGAATTATACCTGTTTCTGCTGACATACAATTTCAACTTAGAGAGACTTAAGGATGAAAGTAATTCATAATGTGGGGACTGCCTATATATAGCATGTTGTTGTTAAGTGCTGTCGAGTTGGTTCCAACCCATAATGACTCTATATGGTTTTGGAGGAGTGGCTGGTGAGCTTGAACCACTGACCTTTCAGTTCAAATGACTTTGTCGTCCAGCACATTAACCCACGGTGCCACACCAGGACTCCATATATAATATGGTTGTGGTTATGTGCCATGGAGTCGGTTATGACTCTACAGGGTTTCTGAGGCTGTAAATCTTTACGGGAACAGAAAGCCTCATCTTTCTCCCATGGAACAGCTGGTAGATAGTGTTCATATAATATCTAAATCATATAAATTCCTATTTCTCAGAATGTATTGTGGATGTTAAGTGACACATGGCTAATTTCGCAAGACATAGCTGACTCAGATTTTTATTTTGATATCTTCTAAATAATTAGCCTTCTCATAAGAGCATGTCCAACAAGCTCTGTGGTAACAGGTATAAACCATTGCTGGGACAATAATGATTTCCCAATATCTGAATGTATAGCTTGTGCTAAACAACAAAAGTACAGGCTGTTCAAGAAGAAGATACAGATTAAAATAGGCTGTTGTTGTTAAATGCTGTTGTGTAGGTTCCCACTCATATGGATCCGGTATATGGTTTTCAGGGAGTGGCTGGTGAGCTTAAACCGCTGACCTTGGTGTTCAACTGACCTTTTGGTTTAGTGCATATCCTAGCGCTATGCCAGGACTCCCAAAGATCGGTAGGAGTACTTATTAAAAACTTTCATATATTAAAAATTGTTATATATAAAACAACATTTATATAAAAGTTAAAAAGAACCAAATATCGTGACAGAAATAAGTCCTAGTGGGACTTAGAGTTATGGATTGGACTGCTAACCACAAGGCCAGCCGTTCAAGCCCGCCAGTCAGTCTCTCATACTTTGGTTATATTATCAGGAGGAATCAGTTGCTGAAGAAGGATATTATGCTTAGTAAAAGTAGAGGGACAAAGAAAAAGAGAAGAGCCCAAACGAGATGGATTGGCACAGTGGAAACACCACTGGGCTCTAATGTAGCAGCAATTGTGGGCAGGTGCAGGACTGGGCAGTTTCATTCTTTTGTACATAGGGTCACTATGTACAACAAGGATTGGATCCACCTGTAGGTGACTTACAAAGAAAAAAAAATGTGTGACTTTTGGAGCACAGAGCTTGATGTCACAGGAAGTGCTCATTTTCTGAGTTAGAACATTAAGGTTTCAGTCCTGGCTCCAGTACTTATATAGTGTAACTTTTGGAAACTTGCTTATCTTTGAGTCCTAATTTCTTATTCTGTCAAATGGAGATGCTGATGATAATATTGTAGGGATCTTATGACAATCTAATGAAAAATGTTACGTGAAAATATTTTGCAAAATAATGTGGTAAAAAATAAGCCATAGTTTTAAGGGGATGGGGCAAGGGGAGGGGCTGACTTAGATGAAACAAGAGGAAACAGTTGAACTGTTTGAGGAGATGGAAATATTCAATATCTTGACTGTGTGGTGGTTACGAGTTTATAAAAATTCATAAACCACCACACAAAAAGGATACATTTTATAGTATGTAAATTATACCTCAATAAACCAGACTGAAAATAAAGTGCCTGGTATCCATTGGAATTCAGTCTGGGTCTGCTGCAGCAACTTGGGGGCTGCATAGAGAAGGTTCTAGAAAGCATCGACCTGGCATCCTTAGGAAAAAGAGGAAATGCTTAGGTGGCAGGAGAAACGCTGCTGCCCTGACCAAAAACTCTCTCTTGGGGTTTCCATTTACCAAGTAATCCTAGGTTCAGAGCAATGAATGCTCAGCTTGTCAAACACCTTGTCTGCATTCACATTTCAGTTTTATGTTTGTTCAGGAAGTGCCGTGACATGTACCACTGCCATGATTCCTGGGATGGCACCTTCTGCACTCAGGCTGCTTCGTCTGGACCAACACCTTTGTGTCACCTTACTCTAACCAGGTTGTTTCAACCGCTAAAATGTGTGGGGCTGCCAATCAGTCATCAACAGTGAACAGCTCCTTCTTGTTACTGAATTGTTTTTTCCTTTAGAACTAGCCAGTGGATTGATTTCTTTATCCCAGGAGTCTATGTGGTTGGTGGATTCTTAATATGCTCCAGCCCCAGACTACTAGAATAAGAGAGAGGAGTAGTGAAATATACTAACCACCCTCCTGCAATCTGGATTCACAATCCGTGTACACTTGACACTGAAGTGGCACTGAGAGTGGGTGGAGAGTTCTTTTTTGACCCTCAGCCCATAGACACCTCTAGAAACCCTGGGCTGATTGCCGGAAGAGTAAGGATTAAACCACATGCACACACACACACACACACACACACACACACACACACGCTTTCTAGCCTATAGCATGTGGCAGACCTCCACAAAGAGTGGGTAAACAAAGAAAGTGGATAGAAACAATAAAACTACTCTACAGTGCAAATGCGTCAGACTTCAAAGTCATTTGAACTGAAAGGTCAGTGGTTCAAGGTCACCAGCTGTTTCCTGGAAACTCTATCTATACAGGGTTGCTATGGGACGGAATCCACTCGACAGAACTTACCAACAACCACAACAGTGCAAAAAATACCAGGAACTCTTATTTAAGAAAATATTCTCGATTTAGTAAATGAATTTCCTGAGAAAATTTCATGCAGTTTGCATGTCACAAAACAAAGTACACAAACCAGTGCTGGATTCAAGCCATACATCATGGAAGGAAGAATAATGGAGGCGGTAAGAGATCATATTGCAAAAGATACTTTGTTCTATTTATGCAGTCCAGCTCTGATGACGAATTTTTCTTCAAACAATTTGAAACAGCCATGTCCCTAAAAAACACATTTGCTTTGAGTATTGGTGATAGGGAATGAGAGAGGTAGAAAAGAAAAAGATTTGAAATCCATTCCGGAAAGTAGTATTATTTG